GTAATTCAAAGTGTCACCAATCTTTAGATTGCACTAATAAGTAAGTACAATTTTATCATATGTTTTGCAAATTCATTTCCCTAATTGTAGTAATATTTTAAACCGTTTGATTTTTGTATTAAAGTTTTTTTAATTGATTGATGATTGATTCAATCAACTAATTTGTTGATTGTATTAACTTGATTCTTTAGATATTGAAAATTAAATAAATAACATTATGTTAATTTAAGCGTACAGAAACGTTGCTGTTGTTCCAGCAAAAATCTTATTTTCACTTTACCGAGTTACTAGTAGGTAATTTGCAGATTACCTAGATAATCTGAACATTACCTAGGTAATTTGAGAAATGGAATAATTTTAGCAACTTTAACGGATAACCCTACTTAATCTGCATATTAGCTAGGTAATGCGCACATTAACGGATTTCGAGATTTAGCGGTAACATATATACAGTAAGACCCCGCTTAACGCGGGAGATGAGTTACTAGACAACAAAGCGCTAAGCGAAACAGCGTTAAACGAGGTCATTTTAACATAGAGTAAATAGAGATAGGGGAACACGCAACCAAAAATAAACAAATTTTACTTTAATTTTAAGTTATCTTTATATTAATTTGTATAATAATATATGTTAAATAACACATATACATATGCACACATAAATTAAAGTTCATTTTTTGTGACGAAAGTCTTGACTTTTCTGAAATTCTTGTTCTTTTGCAATAAAGTCGTAAAGTTTCATTTGTCGCTTTTTTCTTTCCTTAAGAAAATGTCGGTAGCAGTAGATCGCATCCAAAACACCTCGTTTTGCTTTTGCACTCCTTTCAAAATCTAAATCATTCGCTACAATTTGATTAACGATTTCGGTTATCGTTACCAAACTTTTACTAAGGAAATTTGTAGAGAAATATTTTGGGTTCTTCGTTTTCAGAATCTCTATTTTCCAGTTCCACATGAATTCCATGTTCTGCCAGTTCTCGAAGGTCGTCGTTTGTAAGGGTCTCACCAGAAACCTGCTGTAACTCCTCAATATCCTGCTCGTCTATATCTCCTAGCCCTGCTATATCGATTAGGTTGAGTTTGGTCAATCTAACTATACAGCGATAAGCTCTTCTCGTTGAGAATTCTTGGATACCTTCAGCCATAACTTCTTCCACACTTCGTTCGCGCATTTATCGGTTAATTCTTGCCAAGCGAAGTCGATATTTCCTATAGCATCCATGATGTTATATTTTTTCCAAAATTGCACCAAACAAACATAGATTTAAAGTACACCTTTTTGCCACCTTTTGCTGATTAGTTTGTTTCGCAAATAATCTTTAATATACGAGTCAATGAAATTCCGCGATAATTTAAATCAGCGTAAATTTTTAGCTTTTTTTAGGCTTCGAGCAGACCGCGTTATATCGAATCAGCGTTAAGCGAGGCAGCGTTAAGCGGGGTCTTACTGTATATATATATATATACTGTACTGGCAGTCCTGGAATTTTATTCGTACATTTGAGTTTCTAACGTATTTCTCGGTCGAGTTATAAACTCCGTAACGTAACTGTATCCGTAGCTGTAAGCATATCCGTATAGCGTGTTATAAACTCCGTATCGTATCCGTATGGCTGTACCGTATTCCGTAAGAAAAATTTGGATCGATCAAACTTTTACGGTAGGGATACGGAGAATTGACCAACTGCGCATGCGCTATCTGCCGTCAGTCGATATACAATCGAAAGTTGTGCCGGAAGCAACCCACGAAACTTTGACAAATTGGAGGAAACGTAACTTTTTACCGACAATGTTGCTTATGAATAATATAAAATTTTAAGATAAGAGTTACTTTGGTTATAAAAAAAATAGAAAAATGATAAAATTAATAAATACCGTAATTATAGTATTAGATGTGGCAACCTCGATGATTTTGCGCATGCTCACGATAGACTGTTTCGTAAACCGTAAAAAAAGTTTGTACTTTTACGGATACGAAAAAGGCTTTACGGTAGTTTATAACTATTGCTATAGATATCCGGAGTAGCAAACATATACGGATACGGTTACGTTACGGAGTTTATAACTCGACCCATAGGAACGCAATACATATATACCGGACTTACTAGAATGTAAAATCTCATAGAATCTAAGACGCACGTTAATTTCTACATTCAATGGATTTTTTTATTTACTTTTTATTTTTTTGAAAAAATACAGTATACAGCTCGATACAAATTTTTACAGAACTGATCCAGTTGACATAAATTTGTTCAGTATTTATTACATAATAAATTTGTTCAGTATTTATTACATAATAAAGTTACATCGCTATCTTCCATAAACCGGAAATTTTTTCCACTTTTCATGTTTGGCTCTTCTAAATCAACACTGAATTCAATGCTCACATCTTCTCATTTAAGAGATAGAAACTTTACTATTGAACACATTCAAAATGCCAAAAAGAAACTACATTCACAAAGAATATTCCTTTTTAAAGATAATAAATTAAATTATTATCTATCATTTTTTTGTCCCGGTTTGGAAAAAAATAAATATAATAAGCCTTAATATACAGTATATACGAGTAAGCAATTAAGTGCTTCTGCAGGAGAGAGAGTGAGAGGCAATGATGTCAAAATTACACAACAGCTTTAGCCAATTACCGTGATGATTCATTCTTACTTCTAAGCACATGTGACCAGACCACCCCCGAAAAATTTCTGGAGTTTGTCGAAAGTCCTTATGCGATTGATCCTTCCAAAGCAGGGGTCGGCAACCTGCGGCTCGCAAGCCANAAGAGATATACTTGAATTTTAACATCATGTAAATTCATATATATGAATAAAAAATTATATAAAAACATTAATATTAAAGAACAATATTGTTATGTGCTGCCATCTGATAGTTATTTTTAGGATTAAATTTTCATTTAAATTATGGAAATACAGTACACATTTTAAAAAAATATGTTTTAAAGCGATTTTAAGATATTTTGACAGTTCATATACAATTTTAATAACTGAAGTTTTTGTTTTTTTTGGTTAAATATATCAACAAAAATATTCACTAACTTGAAGATACATCTTAAATTATTTATTGGAAAGCACAAATTAATAAAAGTATAGGAACAGAAGTGAAAAAAATGCAATAAATACTTTTTCGTGGAACACACTCTGACGTCAAAATACCTTCGCTCCATATTTCGTCACTGTTTGTCATGGATACTATTACAGTATCAGTACTTTTGAAACCAAGTGGAAAATAACAGCTGGTCATATTATTGCAATGATTTATCGAGTTATTATAATTATAACCTGGTTTTTCTAATTCGATGTCAATGTATATATAGTTTGGCACAAGATCTAACGTTGAATCAGACGAGAAGAAAAAATAATAAAAATCAGAACTGGCAATATCATAAGTTAATTTATTCTTTTCTACAAATAAACGTGCTCGTTTATTATTGCATCTAGAATTTGAGGTCAATGGAACGTGTTCTAAAGCCTCATGGCACACAAACGAATCGTTTGTTTCGTTAGAAAACACACCTTGGCTGCTGGATATGGAAGAAGTTTTATCGTCTGATTCATCTTCCGATTCCAAACTTTCTTCGCTCGAAAATGGCGCGTTTTTGTAAGAGTGAATGCATCGTTTTAGGGACGGTGTTCCTTTAATCACGGACATTATGGCACCGGGAAATCTAGAGCACATCTTCAAACTTATGGAGCTTCCTGTAGGTAGATAGAAGGCTCTGTACTCCATTTGGTTGACACTTATCGTAATTATTTCCTTCATATGGCGATTTATATGCATATTCGTACTTAACTGAGGTAATGATGGAAACAAATAAGCGTCTAAACTAGCGTTTGATGTAACTTTCTGCCCTTTGCACCAGATACTCGAGATTTTGTTTTTCAATGGAAACACATCGTACGAAAACACGGGTGATTTCATTGGCGTATACACTTTATGCTTCATGATGAGCGGAATGGAAAAAAACACCGCACCCAAGATGACAGTAATGATTGTTACTATAAACGGTCTTGCCGGATTTGACATTATTTAGAGGATAAACTTGGCTTACTTACATTAAAACTTTTACATATTCTTTCTATTGCTTTCAATTGTTTCTTTCTATCGAAGATATCATATTTATCGGCGCTTCCATTAGGACAAAGTTCATTGCGATATAACAGAAAGGTCTTCAAACAATTTATACAGTCTTATCATTAAAATAAATTTTGTAATTTTATGTCGTATTCCTTTCAAATATACATACATCTCATAGAATAAACTGAAATGTGTTTATCTAAAATATGTTATGTGTAAGCATGACCTGCATTTTAATTTGATTTGACAGTAGACGGCGAATTTTCAGTATTGTTTCTTTATCGCCATGGTGGCGCTGTAGTGAACGATAACCTAAAATGGCGGAGTGCTGTTAATCGTTGTTGATGATTGTTGGATTCGTTTAAAGTCATTTGTACAGTATATAATGGATGGTAATAAACTAGTTTTTGTGGCAGCTACGTCAGCAACGTACAATATAATTTTACAGCTATCGATGAGGATATTGACTTTTATCTTAAATGCATTTATTTTGCGTTATATTACTAAAGATGTTTTGGGTGTTATTAATGTACGATTGCTATTACTCTACACCACTCTACAGTTTTTGAATCGAGAGTCGTTCAGAAGAGCGTGTCTAAGTTCCAAACAAGCCACGTGGTCTCAAGTCATTAATATGACGTGGTGCATCGTTCCTTTATCTATTTTTTCCGGAATTATTTTTAGATACATATGGTTATATTGGTTACTCAAGCCTGAACATTTTGTACACGAATATGATGTTAGTGTGAATGTTATTGTGATATCTGTGATCATAGAGATGCTGGCAGAACCTATTTTCATTACAGCTCAATATCATGGATTTGTTCGACTTAGAGTTGTAGCAGAAGGTTTAGCTCTTGTTATAAGGAGTATTGTCATGGTGACTCTTGTTGTCCTTTCTCCTGAAAATGGAATATCTGCATTTTCCACTGGACAGTTTTTAGCTTCAGTTGTTTATACTTTGTTTTATTACTTTTATTTCTATATTCGTACATTGAAAATGTATAAGAATGATTCCTTTCCATTTTGTTCTATTAGAGATTTTTTTCCTAAATTTCTTGAAGAATCATTCATAGATTGGAATATTTTTGTACTTACTTGGAGTTTTCTAAAACAAACTATACTGAAGCAATTATTGACTGAAGGAGAAAAATATGTCATGTCGATATTTAACATTCTGAGTTTTGCTGAGCAAGGTGTATATGACGTTGTAAATAATTTGGGTTCTCTTGCTGCTAGATTTATCTTCCAGCCGATAGAAGAAAGTGGTTATTTGTATTTTGCACAGATGTTAAAGAGAGATGAGTCAATCAAGAATCAAAGAAATGAAATAGCAATTTGTGTAATGATATTTAAATATTTATTAAAATTAATGATAATTCTAGGTCTCATTATTCTAACTTTTGGTTACTCCTATGCTAAATTATTATTATATTTTTATGGAGGAAGCATGCTTGCTTCTGGTGTTGGTCCAACACTCTTACGTTGGCACTGTTTCTATGTATTGTTTTTAGCAGTTAATGGTATAACTGAATGTTTTGTATTTGCAGCAATGAATCAAAATTCAATTGATAAATATAATAGAAAAATGCTTCTGCTATCTTGCATATTTTTGATATCGTCATACTTTTTGACCAAACTTTTTGGTGGTACCGGATTTATTATGGCAAATTGCTTGAATATGACCTGCAGAATTTCCCATAGTATTTATTTTATCCATAATTATTTTCAAGACAGTACATTTCAGCCATTGGGGATCAATATTAAACCTTCTGTTATAATTGCTTTTATTGCATCTTTTTGTGTAACTTGTGTGTCAGAAAATTATCTATGTTGTTCTAGAACCTTAAATTGGATATTACATATTATAATTGGTGGATTATGTTTTTTATTTGTAATGTTTATAATAACAACAAAAGAAAAATCATTAGTTTTATTTTTGTACAAGTTATGGAAGAAAAAAAATATACTTGAAGATNTAAAATTTGTATATATAGTCTATTATATATGTAAAATAACATTGTTAACTGGTCAATGTTATTAACATAAACTAACACTGAGATACATTAGGTTTCTTTTTATCCTGCATTCCTAATGATGTAACATAAGTGTATGATGGCGGAGCACTGCATTGAGAATAAGATGGAGGTGGCGAAGAAATTAATTCTGATGGTAATCTAATATTGGGCCTAGAATACAGAGTTACTTCGGAACCTGCTAACAAAGGAATTTTAGGCGGTGCAGGAATAGTAGGAGTCCTACGTATATTTTCTCTAGTTATTTCAACGTATTTAACATTACTGACATACTTTGGCTTTTTGCAGAGCATTATAGTACATCCTATGCACAATAATACAGTAAGTGGTATTAAGACAAAAAGTAATATGAAGAAAAATACTCTGGGTTTACAGCTAGATATGACTGTATAAGACACAGCACCGGCATCGTTCTCTGGTTCTACTACTATGATAGCTCGATTATCTGATCCGAATGACAAAGAGACCTCACATCTAAAAGCACTTTTACAAATTGGAGGATTACTGTAAATGTCGTAAGTAGTTCTGTTAAGAAACACATGAATTTTAGTTTGGCTTTCATCAGAAGAAGAATGATAATCTTCGAGTGAAAATACATAAGTCTCTTTTTCGTCGACACTAAAAGATAATGCTGTAGAATCACAAGCTTTTGCACTAAATGGAATTTTGAAAGATTTAAAATGCTTGCATTCGCTTGGATACCAATTTCGAAAATTCTCATTAAATTTTTTCTTTGATTGATTTTTCCAAAATTTCTTAATATGATCACCAAAATCTTCGTCTTCGTCACTTTCTTCACTGGACGAATCCTCGGAACGAAATGAATGCGTTCTTCGTATTCGTAAGCAATCCTCCCATTTTTGAATACTTTTGAAAATCCGCATAAATATCCCATTTTTGTTTGTACAAGCTCTAATATCGACAGCAGAACCCGGAAGAAAGAAATACTGTAACTGACTTTCTTTACCGAAATGTAATTTTTTTGTAAAATTTAATCGATAATGACGATTAAAATTTCGCCGAATGGTAGGCTCTCCTGTAATACGATAAGTAGAAATAGGATGAGATGATGATACTTCTTGCCAGCCGCACCATACATTTGACAATCTATCCATAATTTTCATATCTGTTGATGCAATCCCAGTCCTATACTCTGGATGTTTAGACATTACAACAAAGAGAATAGTCAGTAGAACAAGAATTAGTATTAAACAAATGCAAATTCCTGCAGCTGGAGTTCTCCAACGACCCATCTAAAAATGAATATAAATATTTATGGATTAGGATTTATAACATAATTTTATCTTATATCTATTATATTTTAATCATTATGTATTCTAATAATTATTTACGAAGATTGATCGTTAAATAAGTCTCCTATCGCAGCATTCTGCGAAGTGCATGGATAGAAACTTGTAAACACCATCATTCAATAGACACAAGTACATAAGATAGAGGCCCCCACTAAGGCCCACCAAGTTTGAATTATTATTTTGACCAACCTCAATTTTTTCAAGAAAGAATTAAGTTATTATTTACAGTCTAGATGATAGCTTAGTCATTTCTTGGATAAGAAACTTGGTGTGCCATAGTGGGATCCCATCTTAGAATATAGCCTGTAGGCTACGTGTGAAGTCACTGTTCGTTTTGTTGCGTCATTGTGCAAAGTCAAGTTTAAATATGAACTCGTTTTCCTCATTCCGTAGAAAACAGCAATACTCTAAGGAGACGGCGAAGATGCTTAAAAACTTAAAGTTACAGATTAACCCGCACTCTCCTTACAACCCAGATTTGGCTCTATCAACACTATTAATCGAATGCCAAAATTCAAGTTTCTGTAGGGGGGGAATGGATCGAGGAAAAGCCATAAAGTTTTTGAACGTTTGGGAACAAATATATCACTCTAAATGTCGATTATGTGGAAAATGAATATGTAAGATTGAAATAAATGATTTTTGCCGTCTTTTGAAACTAATCGCATCATTCTAGTCCTTTACAAATTCATTTTATAAGAACGGATATTTTATTTACTAATCAACTTTCTTAAGAATTAAAAATTTATAAGGTTTTCTGTATCTTAATTTAAATATAAATAATTTTATGTAAGAAAATTAAATATGTTTAAAATTCGTAGCCATTTATGGTAAAATATGAATCAGGTATCACGAATAAATAATAATAATCTGTTTACTATAGAAATAGACGAGTCCTTCTGTATTAAACTCATCATTTTATAATGAAATAGAAAATTTATTTGCTCCACATGTATACCTTTTAACTAAATTTTTTTTCATTCAAATAAAGTAAAATACAAGAAAAATGTAATATAAAGTAAAAGAAAAGTATTAATAAACATTTTTTATAACTTAAACAACAAAACTTGCATGTAAGATTGTGATCTATTATTGACTGCGAGTAATTAAAATTTGTATATATAGTCTATTATATATGTAAAATAACATTGTTAACTGGTCAATGTTATTAACATAAACTAACACTGAGATACATTAGGTTTCTTTTTATCCTGCATTCCTAATGATGTAACATAAGTGTATGATGGCGGAGCACTGCATTGAGAATAAGATGGAGGTGGCGAAGAAATTAATTCTGATGGTAATCTAATATTGGGCCTAGAATACAGAGTTACTTCGGAACCTGCTAACAAAGGAATTTTAGGCGGTGCAGGAATAGTAGGAGTCCTACGTATATTTTCTCTAGTTATTTCAACGTATTTAACATTACTGACATACTTTGGCTTTTTGCAGAGCATTATAGTACATCCTATGCACAATAATACAGTAAGTGGTATTAAGACAAAAAGTAATATGAAGAAAAATACTCTGGGTTTACAGCTAGATATGACTGTATAAGACACAGCACCGGCATCGTTCTCTGGTTCTACTACTATGATAGCTCGATTATCTGATCCGAATGACAAAGAGACCTCACATCTAAAAGCACTTTTACAAATTGGAGGATTACTGTAAATGTCGTAAGTAGTTCTGTTAAGAAACACATGAATTTTNATAAAAATATTTATAACAATGTCTGAAATGTTATCAATTTAATACACCTAAGTACTCAATAAAGACTAAACGTAGTTAAAAACAAAAAAATCGTATCTAAAATAGTATAGGAGAATATCATAATTAGTTTTGTAACCTATTTAAATATACTACTAATAAAATTTTAATATATAATAATATTACTATTAATGAAATTATTACTAGTTAAATACCTGCTTATGAAAATAATATAAGTTGGTATTTATTGAATTTTTTACGAATAATTCCAAATATGTAACAATTCTTAATTATATAGTTTAATTATATAATTAGATATAGTCATATGAAGTGACTATATCTATTTATTCATGTGAATATATCTACTGTATATAAATGCACGGTCATACAAAGATTGGTTTAAAATATTGATACCGAGGAAACCTAAACTGCATGAAAACTAAATAGTCAAGTATACTGATACACTGCTCACTGTCAACTACATTCTTACATTATTTACAGATGAAACAATTTATTTTATTACTTTCGATGTTTCATTACTGCTTTTAAGTGGCGCATACAAATAATGTTTACTTTCTCGAAATATTAAAACACATTTTTGGGGAAATAATCAATTTTAAGTAGAAAAATTAATCGAATTAAAATTGATCTAAATTAATTTTTTTTAATTGATGTTATATAACGCTTACCATATTTGAATTGTTATTATGAAGTTTTTTAGAACGGTATAATTGTAGCTTAATTAATGTAAAAAATAACAATAATTTCCTGCTTAATTTGCTATTTATAAAGGGCCGCAATTAATTATTTGTACAGTATATAAAACACTATGTAATAAATTGTATACTTCGTGAATTAATGCTATTTATTATTATAAACAATTAGACTTATTAGTTATTTTTAATGTTTTTTCTCTGGATTAAATATCTAAATATTCCTCAATATTTAGTCATATTTTACGTCGGTTGCTTATTATTGTACTGAGCTTTGAAGAAAGTATTTAGCAAAATAGTATAATTGTATTCTTTAAAAAAGTCATTAAATTAAATTAATATTAGAAACGAATTACGATTTTGTATATTTACATTAGCAAAAATTTACACGCATAATAATAATAATAAAGTAATAAAATTTATTTATTATATCAGAATATTTTCTAGATAACATAAAACCTCTATAATATTTTCTCGATAATCTCTAAATTCAGAAAAAAATTTTCTAATCGTCCGCTTGAATTAATATATATAATTTAATGCATTAATAAATGTTATAAGTAAGAATCTTAATTGAATAAAAGCGATAAATGAATTCTAATTTAATAGAGATTTTATGAAGATTAATAATAAAACATCATTTCTTTTTTTATGCGTAAAGAAGGAAATTAAAATTTACTTTAAGGAACAACTTACTGTTGTTATCCAGTTGACGGAAGAGACGATTCCCTATTGCAACCTCCCTATATCTGCGTCATTGTCATTGGCATATCTTATCGAAAAATAAAATCTCTAAACCCGATTAATAATAATTATTATTATAAAAAAATACGAAGATAAATTTAAAATGATGTAATAAACTTAAATAACTATAATTTAATTTCCAAATAATATATTCAAAATAAATATATTAAATAATTAAAAATCAAGAGTACTTTGTCCCGTCGTTTCCGTTGTCATGGAAATAACGCGATTTGATGACGTCAAAGTAAAGTACACAGAATAATAAGCTCATAACTGCTTTTAATAGACTTTATTACTAAATTTCCTTTTATATTAGTATATTATTATTAAAATAAAAACGAGCATGGAAGTGTACGACTGCTATTACTACTACTTCTAGTGTTAGTATACTGTTCCTATTTTAAAAATAAGACTTCCATCAGTTATAGTCTTTTAAATATTTTTAGCTTTTAAAATTGCTTTATTTTATATATTAGAAATTAAAATCGTTTAATCACAAATATTTATCGTTGTATTTATTTTATTCCTGTTTTTTTCTTATTCTGCTCTATTGCAAATAGTGCATAGTAACATGAGATAGATAACAGAATGCAAAACACTCGTCAAATATTTTCATCTATAAAAAAATTTATATTAGGTTATAGTAAATTTTAAAATATAATAATATTGTTACTATAATTTATTAAACAATTACAGTTTGCATAAAATTTCTCTTTATCANTAAGGCTTCGGGAGAACGAAACTAAGAGCGTTGTCTTCGCCTCCAATTGGTGTCTTCTTTCTTCGCCTATGCAGGCTTTGAAGAATCGGGAAAAACAATCTTCTTTGCTTACCGTTTATGTGTTCTGTGTTTGCTCTACGCAGGCTTAACGTGTATCGTGTCTATAATGATGTCGTAATACACATGAATATCCGAACAGGACGAATAGCAAACTGTGCGAAGGTTGCATCAAATCGACTTTTTTCTGTTTGTAATGCGTACCCCAGTTTTTTGAGACTAGAAAAGTCAAAAGAAAAAAAGAAAAAGAAAAAGTGCGCACAAGAAGCGAGTAAAGGCGGTACATCTAATTATGTAAAAAGTAATATTTAATTATAAATTTTAAAAACAAGTGATAAAATCTTAAATGTCATTAAATTTAAGCTGCGATTAGTCGTTAGTCAACAAATAAATTAATCTTTGTTAAAGGCAAACACTATATAAATGGAAGAAAATTAACATGTTAGCAAATTAATTATTAAATAAATAATTGATGAGTGGGTGAATTTTTTTAAATATTGGTTTTGGTGGCTTAAGTTTTATAAAAGAATTAAACTGCATTTTAACGTGAAAATTGTTGTTTTTATTACATTATACATGCTTAATAATTCAATAGTTAACATTAATATTCAACCCAAATACCTGAAATTAACTGTGTTAGGCAAAATTATTGATTGGAGCGTATTGGAGCGTATTGACTAACCGATCGATACCAACTCAGTAGGAAAATCTAAATATAATTTATTATTAAAAGAAAGTTTGTTAAATTTGTCTAACAAAAAAAAGTTATGTAAGCATAATATACATTCATGAATGTATTCGCTTTATATTCATAAAACTTCATATTAGCTTAAATAATTAATGTCTGAACAAACATGTGACGTGACAGAATAATCGAAGTATTTTATTTTTAACAAGAACAACTATTATTGTAATATTTACTTGCATTTTAATTAAGCTTATGAAAAATAATCTATAATTTACTATGAATTATAATAATGGCAAATTTAAATTTTAAAATGTTTAGCAGGGACTATTAATTTTGGATTAATTTACAATGAATAATTTATTCATTTTTGTTATTAAAAATTTCTGTAAAAGACTGTTTACGCTTAGATTTAATTAAATATTAAACTATTTGAAAGAAAAGAAAAAATTTATATAATTTATTAATAATTTTTTGTTTCTGTTCAGTATTTATGAAGTCTAATATATTATTTAGAAGGAGGGTATCTGCCTTTCGGCATTGTGTACGTATTTTTGAAATAAATAAAAATAAAATATAATTTTAAAAGTTTATATGTAAAAGTTCATATTAAAGTTTATCATTGATATTGATGATCAAAGATATCAATTGTCTTGTGACATTTTCTTTTATATATGCAATAAATAAATAAATAATAAGCTGAATGATATTCATCACGGTTATATTCATTTTTTATCACGCATTTTTATTGCGGTTTTACCAATTACAGTTTATAAACAGATAATTCTTATTTTAAATATAATTTTATTTATATTTAAATTATCAAATATCCCGAAAACTTAATTCAATTATCAATATCTTATTTTCTACTGAAAATATCCAGTTATTTATTAAAATGAATATATAAATTTTAATTTATTATTTGAATAATGAACTCGACACAATAATTGTACATTTATATTACTTATTACTTAAAATATTATCTTCAATTATTGCTTTCCCGGCTGTTATACAGAGGGAAAGTATGGCGAGCTAGCAAAAAATGACCCTCTCCAGATTTTTACATTTTTGGACTTAAAACACCTTGAAACGTTGAGAAGTGCAAAAAAAAATCGACGGTAATTTCTGTGTATATGGATGTTAATTAATGTGTGTGTGTGCGCGCGCGTATGTGTTTACCCTGTTTGAAGCTTAATAACTCCTGTGCTTTTTGTCGAAAATTTCTGAAATTATGCAGGGAAGTTTGTTTATTAGGGAGATTGATGATTATTAGGGTGATTAAAGGTCGAAGGGGTGGAGAGATAATAGGGGTCGTTTATGTCTCCAGTAGAGTTGGAATTAATAACGATTTTACTCATTATTACTCTTTACAATTTTTTTTTTTTTTTATAAAACTCATCCCTACCCTCAAAATTAAGCTTTTTGCCATTTTATAATACTGTTAAAAATATAAAAAGTTTTTAATAATAAAATATTATAACAGATGGCGCTACAAAAATTTTAAATGTTGCCGGGAAAGTTGAGTAACTCGTTGCTATTTTATTTTAATATAGTGATGTAATGTAATTGCATCACCATATGTAATGTAATTCACTATATTTGTTATTTTGTTTTTTGTAATTGGCTATTTAAAATAAAAATGTTTCGTTCAATGAAATTTTGTGTTAATTGTATGTTTCCTAATTACATATTGCAACATGTAATAAATAGGATATGCTAAGCATTGTACAAATTAAAAGTTAGATAATTTTAGAAATTTATTCATTATGTAGGCTATTATTTCGAATAAATTACATTTGTAATTATATTGATTTACATACTTTTTTTAGTCATTGTCTTCATAGCAAGTCAACAATTTTGCTATTAAGATAATATTATTCTATCAAACACGTAGTCATAATTCTCTAGCCAACCATAATACGATAAATCAATTTAAAAAGTAGTTCGTTCTAAATAAATATTTATTTTATCAAATATTGCAAATTTCTATCTTTAAAATTAAATTATTCTGTAATAAATACTAAATCAAATTCACAACCAGAATTTCTTTCCTATAAATCGGGGGAAAGAACGTTGACATTAACAAGCCATATAAGTCGTTCAAAGTGAGTGGTTTGTCACTTTTCATCTATACTGTATTGAGAAATTTAATTCTGAAGTTAATTACGATTTAAAAATTACTGAGAATTTATTGTTATGTGCTTTTATCTGTGAGTAACATACATATTATATATTCCTGTTTTTTACAACGAATACAGTATGTATATCAGGAGCGCTCCTACATTGGGGCATTTGAAGCACGTGCCCCCTTTTCCTAATCCCCAAGAGGTCCCGAAGCAACAGAAAATTCGTGACGTCTAGCGTATTATGCAAATTTAAAAGAAACTAACGAACGATATCTGTCCATTGACCCATGCAACTCCGTCGTATGTTGATCAAAGCCCCATTCCTTGTTTTCAATGCCAAGTTAGCTCTGACTGCAACCAGCGCAACCTTATGGGAGCGCTGATCCGAAGTTGAATCATAGAGTTTGAAGCTCGTTGCGTAATGTACCATGCCCTTCTTTATAGCTTGTGCCCCCTTTTTCAGTCTGTGGGCGCCGCTGAAGGAAATAATGCTATCAAGAACTGAAACTGAGCAGCAACGTATTCTTTTGAAAAAAAGTGACTTATACCACTCACTTTCAACGGCTTAGATGTTGGTTCACGGTAAACCTGAATACTTGTAGAGTAGATTGAAAATCACCATCATGACTTAAAAGAATTAACACTTAGACAAAATTTAAAGCGATTTACACCAAAGTTATAATATTTAATTCTCTAAACTTTAATTTTAATACTTTTGTTTTTCCTACTTGTATTGGTTTATTTTCCTTCCTTCTTATATTAAATTCAAAGAAAACATGCAACTCTTCGCTTGCCCTTCGTCGTTTCCAGACGAATGACAATCCAGAACTCACCACGTGGAGGTGGCTGAGTCAGAGTTCCATCAAGAGTTGGAAAGAATGTAATTATTATGCCTATTATGGATTCACACGTGACTAACATCACTTATCGAGTTTCATTCGTACTAACTCACACTAAAAAAACATTTATAAATATTTCTGAATTTCGAAACTTGCCGTATCTAAGTGATAATAAAACAAATGCACAAATATTACTAATAAAATATAATTCATTTCGTACTCCTAACGACCCTATTCAAAATAAAGAAAAAAACCACAAAACTCACGAGACATTGATACGATCGCATTGGCCAGAAATCGGGAAGAAGGAAACGGACATCTTTGCCTCACCTTGGATATTTGGTTTCTATCTTCGGTGTATTAAGGCTTCGGGAGAACGAAACTAAGAGCGTTGTCTTCGCCTCCAATTGGTGTCTTCTTTCTTCGCCTATGCAGGCTTTGAAGAATCGGGAAAAACAATCTTCTTTGCTTACCGTTTATGTGTTCTGTGTTTGCTCTACGCAGGCTTAACGTGTATCGTGTCTATAATGATGTCGTAATACACATGAATATCCGAACAGGACGAATAAAAATATCCAGTTATTTATTAAAATGAATATATAAATTT